ACAGACCGAGCACAGCACGCACGCATTCACTGTTCCCTTCTTCTGACTGCAGATGTGTCTTCTTCCTTACACTTTTCTGAATACTTGTATTTTGTATGAATTTTTTAAAGGTGAAGTCTTGCAATTTCTGTCTTCTGAGGATATCGCTCATTTACATTTACTGTAACCATTGCAACATTTAATTATTGTATTAATCAATGGTTTCCATTTGTTCTGCCTATCCTGGGACTCTTTTCCTCTTCTTAGAAAGATATTGCCATGGTTTGTTTTGTTTTTAAAACAGGATCCCATTGTAGGGCCCAGGCTTGCCTAAAATTTCCCATGTGGTCCAGTTAATTAGTTATTTTCATCGCTATGGACAACTTCAAGGGGGAGTGGTATGTTTTTGCTCATAGTTACAGGAGATTCATTTTATCATGACAGGGAAGCTATGGTGGAGCAGCAGAGTTCAATACATGGACTACCAGGAAGCAGAGAACAAGATGAGAAGTTTCTAGGGATAATATGCCTCCAAGGACCCACCCTGTGTAACCAACTATCCCTAGTCTTACCCCACCTCTCAAAGTTCTGTAACTTTCAAAAGCTGTATCACAAGTCAGGGACAAGCATTTAAACTTTGAGCTGTGGATTCATATTCTAGCACCAAGGCTGACCTTGAACTCACCATCATCCTACCTTTGCCCCCAGGGCTCTGGGATTAAGGCATGTGTCACCATGCCATGCCTTGCTCTATAAGCCATTATTACTTGTTTTCATCTTGAATCACCCACACTCTCTTATGAAATGGTGGTCATTTTTTATCATCACAAACTAAATATGTAAAAAACACCAACTTGATTTACTAGGAAAATTACACTTAAAATACAGGATATATACAATATAAGCCTTGTGCATTTATTATTAGAGTCAAAACATATAAAATCATTCTGTCAGGTGTTACAAAATGTCCTGCGCAATTATTCCCAGTCTCTGGGCTTCTGTCATCTGGTAGCAAACACCTTCAGACTTGTCGTCTGTAGACCTCACTTTGAGTAACTCAGTTAACACTTTTCCTTAGTGAGGACCTACCTGCTAGTTATGTATTGCCTCAATTTTTATGCATTTGAAAATGCCGTTTTAAACTCTTAATGTAAGAAAACAAGCTTTGATTGATAAAGTATGAAAGGGAGACCAAGAGAGGAAGGGGGGAGGAAGAGAGGTGTTGGAAGAGGAGAGGAGAGCAGAGGAGACGAGAGATGGGAAAAGCACTGAAGGAGGAGTGATGTCTATATTACTAAGGATACTGCTGTCATAGTTTCAGTCTGTAGTGTCCCCTCAAAACCCATGCGCTAAAAGCTTGGTCCCCAGACTGTAGTGTTACCTTGCAGTGATATATCCTTTCAGAGGTAGGACTTAGAGAAAGGAAGTTAGGTCATGGGATGTGTCCTTGCAAGAACATTAGAACATCCTCCCTACCCAGCCTCTTTCTTTTCTTTTGCTTCATGCTCACCATGATGATATACTGTGCTGCTACAGGCTCATAGAAAGAAGGCCCAGAGACCACACCTGAAGCTAAGTTCAAACACACTTTTCCTCTTTAAGCTCAATTTTCTTGGGCATTTTGTCATAGCAACATAAATCCAACTAGCATGAGTCCTCAGAAAGTTATGAAAAAAGCAGAGGTATTCATGACATTATCACATAGGTCAAAATATAGCAGCAAGATCCCACATACCATGTCATGCCATTATCTCTCTTCCCAAAAGTAACCATAGTCATAACTGCTAACATCAGACACTGATTCTGCTCATTAAAAAAAAAAAAACTTGCCGGGCAGTGGTGGTGCATGCCTTTAATCCCAGCACTCAGGAGGCAGAGGCAGGCGGATTTCTGTGAGTTCGAGGCCAGGCTGGACCGACAGCCTCCAAAACAATACAGAGAAACCCTGTCTCATAAAACCAAAAAAAAAAAAAGAAAAAGAAAAAGAAAAAAACCAACTCGTATAAGTAGATACATGCTGCATATGTTTTTCAAGTCTGGCTTATTTTCTCAATATTAAATTTATCTGTCTGTGACAAAATACCTGAGATAAAGAGATTGTCGTTTCGGCCGGGTGGTGGTGGCGCACGCCTTTAATCCCAGCACTCGGGAGGCAGAGGCAGGGGATCTCTGTGAGTTCAAGGCCAAGCCTGGTCTACCAAGCGAGTTCCAAGACAGCCTCCAAAACAATACAGAGAAACCCTGTCTCGAAAAACCAAAACAAACAAACAAAGAGATTGAAGTTTCCTGATGGCTTGTGGTTTTATAGATTTTATTCTGTGGTGAGTTAGGCCAGTGACAGACTTCATGGTTACACTCACTTAATTGTGGCCAAGAAGCAAAGCAGAAAAACAGTGACAGACTAGAGTCCATAATTCCCTTTTAGGAAACACCCCCAATAACCCATCCTCCTAGCCTACTAAAGATTCCACCTGCATGCCAATAGAATGACAAGCTAGGGACCAAGTCTTCAACACCTGCCCACAGGCCTTGGGGGATGTTCGAGATACAAGCATATTGTCATGTAGTATCCCATTGTATGGCTATGTCACATTTAAAAGGGGGAAACTAAACTGGTAAGATGGATCAGTCAGTAAAGGTGCTTGCACCAAGCTGATGACCTGAGTTCAGCTCCCAGAATCCACATGGTAGAAGAAGAGAACTAATCCCTACAAACTCCTCTGACCTTCATGAGTGTAGCATAGAATGTGCCAACCCCACCCACAAAAATAGATAGATACATGGGTGGATAGAAAGATGATTAATAGATAGATAGATACGTTAAAGCAAAAACAAAGAAAAGAAAGCCCATTCCATCTGCACAGATATTTAAGTTGCTTTCGCTGTGGTGTAGTTATAAAAATGCTTCTATGAGATTACTTGAATGTCATTTAGTATACAAACATATGCATTTCTTTGGGATAAATACCTAAGATTAGAATTGTTAGCTCCTAAGATGTATATGTGGAAGTAGAACTTCTGCTATTACTTTGTATTTCATGGCAGGAAAAATGTGTCATTTTCAAGGTTGATTAATAATTCTTACAAGTATATTCAGAACTTCATGATACATTTTGCAAAATTCCATTTTGAGTACAGTAATTCTGCAGTACATATGTATATACATATTTATGAGTATAACAATTTACAGATAAATTGTTACATTTGTCTTATTAGTGAATTTTATTTTGTATTATTTTGCCATTTGATGAGTAACTTCTTCCCTTCCTTAGTTTCACTGGGTATAGGATGGAGAGAAAGTGCTTTTCCTGAAGAGACATTATTAATTGCATAATATTTAATAATTCTTTACTCTTTAGTCACATAGAAGCTAGAATATTGGCTACCATGATAAGAACATATGACACAAAAGAGTAAGAAACTCATTCAAAATAGCCAAAATGTGGAAGCGGCATAAATATCCATCAACCGATGGGTGACAATGTGATGTATATACAAAATGGAGTATTATTGTATTACAAAGTTCTGACATTCGTGAAACATGGATTGAGCTGAAAATTATTATGTTAAGTTAAATAAGACAAGCAGAACACAAGTGCTGCATGACCTCACTCTTATGTAGAACCTGCTCATCTCATAGAAGCTGAAAGTAGAAGGATGGTTCCTGGAAGGAAGAAGAGAAATTTCTGGCAGACGGTAGTAAAAAGTCCCATTGGATTGCACTATGGTTTAATTAGAGGTAGCAATAATTCACAGTGCCTGTGGTGATATTTTGTTTGTTCTCTAACAAATAAAGCTTGCCTGAAGACTAGAGGGTGGAGCTAGCCACTAGTTAACTATAAAGGCCAGGCTGTGGTGGCACACACCTTTGATCCCAGCACTTGGGATCTCAGGCCTTTGATTCCAGGACTTGAGAGGCACATGCCTTTAATCCCAGCACTAGGGAAGTGGAGACAGGAAGTGATATGGCTAGGCATAGAGAGGAATATAAGGTGGGAGGAGACAGGAGCTCAGCCCTTACCATCTGAGAATTTTGTAGAAGAACTTTGGTGGCTGGCTCCTTTACTTCTCTGATCTTTCAGCATTTACCACTTGATCTAACTCTGGGGTTTTTATTATTAAGACCAGTTGGGATTTGTGCTAAATATACCCCTCAAAAAACTAGAAGTTTGTACCATTGTGAAATGATAAGTGTTTGAAGACATACAGCTAGCTTTTTTAAACTTTATTTTTATTTTATTTCGCATGTGTATGTATGTGTATGCATGTGTGCTGTGTGTGCAGCTAACAACAGAGGCCAGAAGAAGTGTTAGCTCCCCTGGTTGTGATCTACCCAATAGGGATGCTGAGAACTGAGTGTTGTTTCTCTCTGGAAGAGCAGCAAACACTCTTAACCCCCAAGATAGATATAAATTTAACTAATTTAAACAATATATAAGAATATATACATCAAGACACCACAACACCTAAAGAATATGTAGTTTTTTATGTTTTATATGCCAGTTAATATAAACTTAGTTTGAAAAATAAAGTCTTTCTTTTCTTAGAAAAAGAATGCACTCTTGTAAGTATTAAGTAAGAATGACCATAGGAGATTCCTAAGGAATGGACCTGGATTGGGGCAAGGCTTAAAGTAAGGAATCACAATAAGTTATTAGATAAGTAAAGGCCTCAATGGAGGTATGTCGATACCAAAATATTAAGACTATCCTTGGCCGGGCAGTGGTGGGACACGCCTTTAACCCCAGCACTCGGGAGGCAGAGGCAGGTGGATCTCTGTGAGTTCGAGACCAAGCCTGGTCTACCGAGTGAATTCCAGGACAGGCTCCAAAACAATACAGAGAAACCCTGTCTTGAAAAACCAAAAAAAAAAAAAAAGAAAGAAAGAAAAGAAAAGAAAAGAAGACTATCTTTATGCAGTATTGTGAGGCACCATTCCTGAGGAAATATGAAAGAATGTCTACTTACCCCAAATAGGTATCTGATGACATACCAAAGTACAGATACCACCAAAGTCCAACTTGGTGAACCAATGAGTTTTATTGGGGTTTCTTATAGGAATATGGGTGAGGGGTTACTTACAGGAACAGAAATGACCCAAAGACCGTTGCATCATCAAAGCCAACCCCAGGCACAGGTGACAGTTCGTAGAGCTGGAAGCCTGGAGCACACCATACAACCTGCAGGCAGCTGCACATGGAGGGCGTCCATTCCCAGTTGGTGTGAGTCTTTTCTAGGCAGCTCAGTTGGTCTTTGTTTCTCCCAGAGACTTTGTTTTATTTCTGCTTCTTTCACGTAGCTAGACTCATCTAAGAAGGATACTCAGAATTCTTTACTGTTTTTATACTCTCCAAGAGGGAAGGGCATGGTGAATATGGTCATTTTCAGGTACTTCCCAGAGCTTTTCTGAATTCCCCTCTTAATGAGATTCCCTGCAGGATGGAGTAGTCATCTTCCTCAGAGCATCCTCTTAGGGGGTTTGTCTTGTTTTGTTTTGCTTGTTGGTTTTGATTTTTATCTTCCTATAAACTTCATGTCTTAAAATGTCCTGTTGTTTCACTTCCCTTCTTACATCCTGTGTCTTAAGTTTCCCTCTGAGATGCAAAGGTTTTCATTTCAAAGGAAAACCACTATACAACACTGAATAATAGAAAAACAGGAAATGAAATGTCTTTTGAGGTCACTTGCTCACAAACTTCATCAGGGTATTATGAAAGAACACCTGGGATTATTAATGTGTCTTCCAGACAAGTCTGTGAACAAAAATATAGTACAGCAAAATTAATGAAAAAAAATTATGCTCTGGGATTTGTTATTGAGTCTCAGCTTCTCTGTGTGAAATTATAGAGAAATGTGTAGTAAGACTTGTCACCCAAAAAGCAAGAAAATACTAATATTTATGTCAGTATAAGGATGCATCTTATGTGTCAACTTCACTGGGTTGACAAATGTCCAGATAACAAGTGCACTATGATTTCTAGGTGTCTCTGTGGGAATACTCCCAATACTCATTCAGTACAACAAATACAGATGACTATTCCTGTCACTGTGGATGGTTGTCATTCAGCTCTACGAAGGCCTGATAGACTTTAAAAGGTGATCAAGGTCACATGTTTGAGGAAGCTTGTTTATTTTTGTCACATATGAGTATCTAGTTATCCCAGCACCAATTATTGAAAAGACATTATCCTTAGATCTTGTCTCCCTCTTCCCCTTGCCCCCCACACATACACACAAAAACATACTTATGTGCATGGATCTATTCTGGAGTCTCTAATTTCATTGATTCCATGTTTATGTGCAGATCACACTCTGTTGATTACGGGAATTTTATAATAAGTCTCAAAGTCAAGTAGTTTTAAGTTTCCAAACACTGCTGCTCTTCAAAATTATTCTGACTATTCTAGATTATTTTCATTTTCATAAAATCTTTAAAGTCTTATTGTTAGTTTACACAGATTCATGTGCATGAACACACACAACCACTGGTATCTTCATTAGTACTGCACAGAATCTCAAAATTAATTAGTAGAGAGTCATTACTTTTTAAACATTAACATTTCCAATTCATGGTCACGGCAAATGCTTTTTACTATGAAAAAGTATGAAGCTCGTGTGTTCCAAATTTGATATCTAATTTAACAGTGATAATGATCTGGCTGGATCCCTCAGGATCAGGTTGGGACATAGCTCGGTGGTAGAGCACTTGTCTGACATGCCTGTGGCCCTAGGGTCCATCCCCAGCACATGGAATTGAGTTCCTGATAAACAGTGTGAGTTCTGTCCCTCTCTCTTTTCTATGTATCTTTACCTCTCAGCTTTCTACCATGTGCTGATGTCATATCAGGATCCTTCTAAAAGCAGGTCTCTTGACTTTGGAATTCCTAACCTCTAAACTATAAGAAATAACTCTCCCATATTTATAAATCGTGCAGTTTCAAATATGCTGCTACAGGAGCTCAAAAATGGACCAAGACAGCATTATCTTACCACTGATTTAGTAATTTTTCAAACAACTTTTAGTTTTCAATATTCAGGTCTTACATATCTCTTAATTTTATTCTTAACTATTTTAAGTCACCTTAAATAGTATTTCTTTATAAATTTGACTTTCTATTATTTGTTGCTAGCATATAGAAATGAAACTAACATTTTTCCTTGTTCAGATTGCTCCTTTTCATTATATATCTTCATTATAGTTAACACAGCAGAGTCTATACTAGCCTGTTTTGAGATTTCCTCTGACAACAGAATTAATCCAAAACTCTCCAGTCTAGCCTCAGGCAGTTTTTTAGACAAAGGCAAAAAGAAGCAGCCATATTTTCCACCAAACTATCACAAGAATAATCTCTAGACAACATGAAAATTCTTCTCCTCTGAAATCTCTTGAGCTAGACTCCCACAGTTCCTCAAACCACCCTCAGCACCACTGTCTTCCATGCTCCTACTACTATAGCTCATTAAGCCCCATGTAAAGCATCAGTTTAACGGCTTTTCTACTCCATAGTCCCCACTTCCATATTCCTTCAAACAAAAGCAGGATCAGGCCTATCACAACAATACCCCAGTCCCTGCTACCAACTTCTGTCTTAGGATTTCTATTGCTGTGAAAAGAAGCCATGTCCATGGTAACTCTTATAAAGAAAGGAAAATATTTGATTAGGGTATATTAAAGTTTCAGAGGTTTAGTTCATTATCATGGCAAGACATGTCGACATGCAGGCAGGCAACAGTGCTAGAGAAGGAGCTGATAATTCTATGACTTGATCTGCAGACAACAGGGATGTCAATTGTGATACTGGGCATAGCTTGAGCATAGGAGAACTCAAAGCTCAACCCCATGGTGACATACTTCCTCTGACAAAGCCACACCTACTCTAACTAAGCCACACCTCCTAATAGTTTCACTCCCTGAAGGGACCATTTTCTTTGACACTCCCACATTCTTCTAGTGCAAAGATAGAATTGGCTCACCACAACACTCTGCCATCTAGATGTTTGTGAGAGGTCACCCCCCCGGTCTTGTGTTTGCTGTCCCTAGTTGTTCTTTATGTTTTAAGAGGAATTTCAGAGATTAAAAGTACTGTCTCTGCTGCCACTTTCTCATATTCTTTCTGGTGCCTCATATGTGCCACCTGAGGCCAGCAGAAATATATTTATTTTATTATGTGTCTGTTTCTTTTAGATAGGACCTCTTTAGCTCTTGATAGTTTCCATATTTTATGGCACAACAGACATTTAAGGCTTAGTGTAGACCTTTTTTTTCTTACTAGGATTTTAAGTATGTATTTCTACAGAGTTTTAATTCCTATTATCCATGGGATTTTTACTACCTAGGCTAAGAGTCATTATCTTGAAAAACCTAAGCACATCCTTTCCAAGAAAGCTCATAATGGTGTTACAAGCCATCTGACTGGGATCCTTTAACAGTACCTGGCCAAGAAGAAGCTCCTCAGAGTGGGAAGCAATCGTATCCCTCAGTGCTTAGAAAGCAGTGAGAACAGACAGCATGCTCTGGTGTTACAGCTCTTTTGTAAGCCTAGAGTATAAACCTTTACAGATCTTACAGTCTTACATAGACCATGGTATGTGGTTTCCTTAGCCCTTGGTAGCAGCTAGCATTACAGCTATTAGGACAGTGATTGTCAACCTTCCTAATGCTGTGACCCTTTAATATAGTTCTTCATGTTGTGGTGACCCCCAACCATAAAATTATTTTCATTGCTACTTCACAACTGTAATAATAATGTTTTCGATGGTTAGCCAACCTCTGTGAAAGGTTATTTGGCCCCCAAAGAGGTCACGGCCCATAGGTTGACAGCCACTGTTCTAGGCAGTCACAAGTATTGTGATTCTTTAGCCTTTGACTACAGTTACAATGTCAGGCCTGACTTGCCCCAAAGATCTGCTAGCTGTCTGGAACTCTTCCAGTGATCAGTAACTGCAGTTTGTCCTCAGCTTTTTGCAGCCTTCTGAACATCAGAAGTTCTTCCAACAAAAGAACAGAGAATTTGTTGACACAGCAGTTTTATCTGACTTAATGGTGCTTTGAAAGTGTTTAACTGCAATTCAGCACCCCAAGAAAAGATAGGTCCCCCTCATCAGCTTCAATGGTAAAAGCAATCTTGAATATGATATCTTGAAATATGATACTGATATGGAAAGTCCTTCTGTATATATGTTTGTCTTATTGGTTGAAGAATAAAGCACTGTTAGTCAATAAGGAAGGAAGATAGGTGGGACTAGGAGGATTCTGGGAAATGGAGGCACAGTGAGTCACCATGCGGTTGCCAGAGGAGTAAGAGGTCCAGACCCTTTCTGTGGTAATAGAAGACCATGTGGAAATACTCAGATCAACAATTATAGGTTAATAATTAAGTCAGAGCTAGCCAATGAGAAACCATATCAAAGGGCCAACAACTTCATAATTAATATAGTGTCTTATGTATTATTTGGGGGCTGAGACAGAGGCAGGACCCAGGCAGCTAGCAGGCAAGAGTACACGTTGCATGGTACCACCCAAAAGAAAGGGGAAAACATTATATCACAGGCTGAACTGACCCTGGAAAATAATTATGAGGATCTGTAAACGTGTTACAAAGTGAAAGGAAAGCACGAGGGAATAAAAGAAATGAATTAATCAGAAGGTTGTAGACAACCCCTCAGGGAAACTGCAGTGTGACAGCTATGGGACCCAAAACATTCTTTCTGTGTCTAAAGGGCTTCAAAGGACATCTAGGAGCTCAATGACAAGCACACTGGTGTCATTTTCCATGTGCCTAACCCCAACATGTCTGTCAGGGATCTGATTTTCTGCCTGAAGAAAGCCATCAAATATGATGGCATGGAGAAAATGGTAAAGTGGGTATTAGGAGACCGTCAAAGGACATCCGTGGGCTACATCAAGGACCAAGTGTCTCCATCCTTCCTCACCTTTGGTACTGGGCCTGGCATTATCCTCAACAACCACTTTTTCAAACCCATTTTCTGGCGAGAAAACAGTGTCAGGTTGATAGACTTCATAGTCCATATGACCTCCAAGGAATGGCAGCCATGGTCTATCCATCCAAGCAAAAACACAAGAGAAAGACATGCCTTTCAGCTACTGGTTGACTCTGATGTTCACGTGTCCTTGTGACCTGCTATAACAATACGTGCACTGGGGTCACTTTTCAGAAATTTATTTTCTCACAGCTCTAGAGACTACATACCCAAGATGGGGTTTTGTCAAGACCTTGTTTCTGATGAGAACTCTTTTTTGTTTTTAGGGTTTTTGGGGGGCAGGGGGGGGCTTTCAGGTGATTGTTTTCTTGTTGTGGACACAAAGAGGAAGGGGCACTGCCTCTCTGATGTCTTATTAAAACACTAATTAATTCAATGATATTAAAGACCCACATTTATAGCCCTATTTTACCTTAGCTACCTCTTATAGACTCTATCTCTAAATACAGTCACGATAGAGATTACAGTTCCTTATACAGTTCCGAGAAACAAACTGTTGTACTGTGTAAGTGGATGATGGGAGATGTCATTATGAAATCTGTCTCTTATTGGTTGTTGAATAAAGCACTGTTGGCCAATAGGGAAGCAAGATAGGTGGGACTAGGAGTCAAGGAGGAATCTGGGAAGGAGAAACACAGGGAGTTACAATGTAGCCACCATAGGGGTAAGAAGTCTGGACCCTTTCTCCGGTAAGAGAAATACTTAGATTAGCGATTATGGCTTAAGTTCTTAAGTCAGAGCTAGCCAGTAA